CGCCTGAGAACTTGTGTCCATGAATTGCTTCGACTTGTGGGATACCCTCAAACCGGTCCCTGCCAATTCACCTTTTTCAAAAGTGTGCACCCCCCAGTAGCGGCTGCGTCGATCATCTCATATTATCCGAGGCCGCCATATTTTGAGCACGCACTTTGACTGTGCCTTGACATGAATTCTGCATCAGCGTTCGGCTTGAACTGGGATCTGGGGATCGGTGGCCGAGTGTGTTAGAACAGCGCAGCTCAGAGCACGTGGAGCGAAAGCTCGCGCTGCGGAACCCAGGGATCCGGGGTTCAATCCCCACCCCTGCCCGTTCTGACCTGGACGAGCATCGTACCGGAGTGCGGTCGTGTATCGGTACTGCGTGGTGCACGTTAAAGACCCACAGACTAGCGGTCATATATCACTGGATACATTTCTCATCTACTACAGCGTTAACCAGTCTCGCTACACTTCAAAGGCAGACCGACCTTATGCCGTGTAAACACGACCGTCAAATTGAGATATTTTGAACTCGTATCCAATTATGCGTGCTCCACGGCACTGATGGCTATGTAGTAGGCTGCATCGCGGATCGAGGATTGTTTTGCTGGTGTCGAGCGACACCACCGGCGGCCATTGCTTGTCGCCAGCAAATGCATTGAACCCTATGGAACAAAAAACAAACGTGAAAAAGTATTTTCTTATTTGTATTATATATTTTGGACGACTAAACGTAGACAAAGTTTTTAGGAAGGGTGGGAAATTTCTGTGTTGTGATGTTAATACTTCCTACGTTCAAGTTTTAGGGTAAAAGATTAAAGAAAGATCCATTCGTGGATCCTTAGGGAATGCGTTAGCATGACCCTTGGGAAACATCACACACATCCGCTTTTGGAAAACGCTAAAGCTGACCCCTTCCCTTTTCTGTTTTGGCTTTCTCTTTTGCTTCCTTTTTGTTTGCTGTCTCTTTTTCGGCTTCGTTCTGGGGTCAGTGTTAGAGCTTCCTAAAGTGTACGGCGTTTCTCAAGGGTCATGCTAACGGATTCCCTAAGGATCCACCAATGGATCTTCCTTTAATTTTTCTAGCACAACCCAAGGCTTACGCTTTCCGCAAACCTACAAGTTCAAACTCGCCCCAGAATCCGCGCGCACATTGGCCTCCTCCCCGTGACATCGTCTCCCTCTCGCCTTTGTCCTTCATGACTCTTCTCTTCTATACGCGGCGTGCTTCCCTTTCCACTGTTTTGTTCACAGACGAACGCCGTCAGCTTTTCCCTGTCATGTGGTTACTGATGCTGACACATTAATAATTGTCTACCCTCCGTTGACTTCCTTCACGAGCCCCACCAGCAGCCGCTGGGAGCCACGCCGTCACCCAGGCTGGCAGAAAGGTTTGCTTCGATGTTTACCTTTATATTTGTACTTACTAAGGGTTGCAGATTGTGTTAGAGGCATTATTTTTGCTTTCATCAAGCGTGAGGAACGGACATATTGTGTGGCTGTGTGTTTTGATGCAGCTCGCACGGTGCACACGCCACCTTGGTTTGGACTTTTGAACGTGAAGCGTTTATAGTCTCGGTTTTCAGGAGAAGTGAAGCCTCACAAAACGTAACCGTGAATTTCCCCGCTAAATTTCGTGGAGAAAATGACGTCACATGGCTTTATGTGACCTATACAGTAAATCAGTTTCCTCGCTAATTTTAGAGAAAAAAACTGACGTCACGTGACTCAGCATCAGAGGCTTGTTAAGACCGGGTTCCCGTAGACCTTCTTCGCTCCGTCTTGGAGAGGTTTCTTCTTGGGCTTGAATGCCACCCTTCTGCTTCTAAAAAGAAAGCCCAATGGGCAGTCATCTCTTCCGTGCACTATTCCGCTCATGGGTTAAAATCCATTGCATCAAGGTTTGAGGCGAACGTCGTGTTTTCTTACCGTATACGCCTCAAAAAACTCTGCCAACAAGTCAACAATAACCGTATTCCGAGTCGCTGCACCGTCATATATAAAAAGAAGCTCGCGATATGCAAAGAAAAGACGGTGTACTCCATACCCTTGAGCTGCGGGAGCCAGTACATAAGCCAGACTGGCAGGTGCACAAATAACCGACTCCGGGAACAGCATACCATGAAGTTTTCAAAGCCTCACCTGAGTCCTATCATTCCATAGTCATGCGCGCCCGATCCTGCACATACTGCAGGCCTAATTTTGAAGATACAAGAATCTTGGGGGGACATAACAGCAGATATGGCCGGGAGATAACAGCGTCGTTCACCATGAGCAGCAAAAAAAAACGTTTCTAATCCCTCTCTGGTTTTAACGAAGACTGAAGTTGAATTTCTCAAATCACAGATTACTCTGTCGATTTGACTTTGCATTTTATCTTATCATATCTTCCCTCCTTCCTGCTTGTCACCTTCCCCTTTCCTCGATTTTCCCGCATTTAATCAGTTGCTCGCTTTGGAATTCCTATACGTCTGTTGCTAGCTGAAAGATGTGGTTGTGTCGTCTTCGCCTTACATGTTTATATTTTCTTCAATCTTGACCCGTACCAACAAGCTCTTCGTCCATTAATACTGTATGGCGTTGTATATGCACTGCTTATTAAAAAAAATGCTCTGATCAGTTTTGGAGGTAAGCTTTTTGTTTTAAATAGAGTTCCTTAAGAATATGTGGCCAATTGGTTGCATCGCTTCTGAGCTTCACAATTTACAGGTCATACCCTGAACGTTGAAGAAACCGATGCTGGTGCTGTTTCCGCTTGCACTCGCAACTTAGCCACCAACAGCCTCTCCATCACCAAGTACATTTCCGAATCGTTAGCGTTTCCTTCCCGCGATACTGCTTCATCTCATCGTTTTCTTTTCTTTATATATATTGTCACACACGATAAATTACGATTACTTTCTTGAGTGTGGATCATAACACCGCCTGTGATGAGGTCTTCTAATCGCCTGATCTTAGTACAACATGATATCTCTAAGAAGCTTCTTTCTTCTTCGGCCTGATAAGATCACAGTGAAAAATAAATAATAAAAAAATTCCAGTTCATGGTCGTGTCTTGCAGATTAACTTAGGCGACAGTCGAGACGCTGCACACTCTGCTGAGTACGGAATGCACACAAACATTCTCCACCACAGTCCAAAGTTTGGAAAAGGTGCAAAGATGACACCGCCACGTGGCGTCACGTGACAGGACATTGTGACGTCACATACTTGTGACGTCACATGGTCTTGTAACGTCATGTGACGGCATGTGAAGCGTTTCCCCGGTCCATTTAGGAAGAAAATAGTGACATCATTTGATGGCACGTCACGTGACGTCACATAGTGTGTTTCCCGTTTAATTTAGTAGTAAACTTGTGACATCACGTGACGTTACGTGAAACATTTCTCCGCCAGATTTAGCGGAGTAATTGGGCCATCACATGGCGTCATGTTACATTGCGACGTCACGTTAAGCGTTTTCCCGCTAAATATAGCGGGGAAATTGTGACATCCTATGACGTCTCGCCAAGTGACATAACGTAGAGTTTTTCCGCTAAATTTAGCGGGGAAGTTGTGACATTATATGACGTAACATGGCGTAATGTCACATGACACATTGGCATAAAGTGAATGGTTTCCCCGTCAAAATCAGCGGGAAGCGTTTACCTCTAAATTTAGCGGGCCATATCGTACACGCATCAGATCCGCTGAGAAACCTCACCAATAACGGCTGTCACCTTAAAAGTGTGATTAAACAATCTTCGAAAGTAGCGTGCGCTATAAAGTTAATAAAGCAAACCTAAACGTGCAAAGTCCCGTAGAACATGTAGAATGCACCTGCCGCGTGTCGCGCCAGGCCTTCGTCCTAATTATGTGCACTGGAAGGCTTCTGCCGCAAAGTGTTCAGAACTCAACTCGCGGATTGAAAGCCAAGATCCAACACGCTACCCTACGTACCCTAAGCAAAGCTCATGGCAGGAAAATGCCAAGAAAAAGGTTCCAAAACTTTCAACCCATACCAACTGACAGGAGAGCTTCCCCGCAGGACTTAGAAGCCAAAGGTGAAGTGCCATTGCGGTTAACGCTGACATTACGGCGGACGGCCATCAGCGAACCCTACCTACTCTGCCTCGAAAGTTGCAGCCAGCGCTACCACAGGCACGGGCACGGCAGCGTAAGTCTTAAAAATGCTGTGTTTATGCGAACTCTCGTCTAGGACAACGCTATCTACAAGCACGTGCTCGTGCCCGGGCGTTCTGCAACGCCGCTTAGAACACTCGGGATGAATGTTATTTCAAGATTGCCTCACTCATGTTGGTAAATGGGACAAGCTAAATATGATTATAAACTAAAAGCAACGTAGTTTCTTTTTGAACCTGGTCCTACCAGGAAAGTGTCGTCGTCAGGGGGCAGTACTTTTTGGCAGTGTCCTCGATAGACCAAAGAAACATTAGAGCGCCTACCGGAACCACTAGTCACTTTATAATCTATTGCGCAAACTGGTGTTTAGAAGCACCCGTACCGATATAAGAGTAGCGATAGCTCGCGACGACTGCATGAAAGCCAAGAGTGGCATGCAATCAATGCACCCGATGAAGTACAGGCATAATTCACTTTTTTAACGAGACCCCTCGCGCTGCTAATGCACCAGTATTGATCCTAGCTGATAATATATAATTTGAAGTCTAAAAAATACTTTGGTTAGTGTAACGTACGCGCTGACAGGGCAGCATTAATGTCAAATTACAATAATATGCAAACTATACCAACTTCTCTTTGCGCTAAGGAAAAAAAAAAAGAAAAATGAGACGGACATAAGAATACAATACATCAAAGTGAGCAATTCATCGGTTACGTTATGCCCGCGTCATTCTCAAGATAACGCGAGAGAGCCACCACAATGGACAGGCAACTTCAGACTGCCTTCACTCCCCAGCCAGCTCGACGACACACAGAGTTGTCCCAACCCTGCGCGACAACGCGGGCGCGGCTCCGCGGCCCTCCCCCTCCGCGCGCCCTCTCCCGCGCCGCCCGTCACGTGACCCCCGCCGTCGCCCACAGAGGGGGCGGAAAGAAGCGCCCAAGGCCTGATCCGAGGAGAGGACCTCACGCCGGGGTGCCCTGGGCAGCCTCGACCGCCAAGCCTCGTCAGCGGCGGCCCCACGTCCGTCCCCCCCCCCCGGTGCCAGACTCGGCGAATGGCAGCTGGGGTGAGGCGCCTGCTCTCCCCGGCATGGATCACTTGGGCCGCAGGTACGTGGACGGACCCGCCGACAAAACGCGAGCTCCGCGTCGTCGTCGTTGTACCTATTTGTGCGACGGCACTGCGGTTCACCGCCGATCCCGCACGGGGACCGGTGCTGTTCCCGCGATCTCGGCGGTCGGGGGATACAATCTCGCGGTAGGATCGGGCTCGCGCGCGCGCTCGGGCACATCGGCGGCGACGTGTTATTTCAAGCTGCTCGTCGACAACGAGTAGAGAGAAGGCCTTCGCGAAAACGCGCAGAGTTAGCGCTAAGCTGCGGGGTGCGCGCGCTGGTCGTCGATAAGCGGCGGCCAGCTCGCTGCGTGTCTCGGCGGTTTCGTGACTAGTCCGAGCCAACCCGTACTGCGGAGCGTTTCGAAGCGCGCTCGTCGTCGCGCTATGATCCGACGGCGTGTTTTCGGCCCCGCACCGACTGTCAAGTGGGCCGCTTCTCCTACCCAAGACTCCGGAAATGATCGCCGCGGGGCCGTACGTGGTCTCTTGACGCGTTGAGCCGACCGCGATCGCGCCGCAGACGCACCCCCTTCCCTTTCTCCCGCCCCCTCGCCTCCGACCCTCGGACACTGACGTCTTCGGCGATCGCCCGTACACGTTCCCCCCGATGTGTCCCACTTCGGAGCTCGCAATGTCTGGATCTTGCCACGAAAGACTCGCCGTGGATCGTAAGCTGCGGACTGCGGTTCCCTGCGAACGCGTGCTTCACTGATGTTCAACGCGACGGCACGAGCTTCCGCCAGGGCAGCGCAAAGCTCTCGCGAACTATCCACTGAAGGTCCCTATTGATCAACACAGCTAGCAGAGAGACGAGGACAGCCCCCGAAACGAGAACGACTTGCAAATTTAAACGGGCGCAGCAAAACATCGCAGGCTCCTCGACTGATCCCGATCTCTGAGGCCCCTGCGTTCTCGCATTCGCTCGGCCCTCCCCCGCCTTCTGTCGTGCTTTCCTCTCCCTCGCCGTCGGGCTTCGTGTGCGCGCCCGTAAATATGTATGCGACGGGAAGAGAGCGAGAAACTCGAGAGGTGCGGTGATTCGGGCTAAGTCGAACGGCTAGGATTTTCTCTCTGGGAGAAAGGATAATCAACCTGGGATGCTGCTAACTGGTTCTCCGATCTTCCCCGGGAAACGGAGCAGGCACCCGCATGCATAAGACTTTCGGCTCGGAGGGTTTATTAATGCGCCTGAGAGATGCAAGAGAACGCTGTAGCGCAGCTTTCACTGCCCCGATCACGCCGGGAGAAAATACAACCAGTAAAACACTGCGTAAAAAGAAAAAAGAAGAAAAAAATCGCGAAAGGATTTGTTTTTTTTTGTTACGCCGGCAGCACACTTTTGCGGAGCGCGCGATGTCGCGCTTTTTCGGAAGAAATGAAACGCAGCTGCACATTGCGTGTTTTTTTTGTTTGTTTTGTTCCTTGAAGAGGAGAAAGCCGCTTTTCCTTTACTGCGTGGCAACCGCGTACTTTTAATAGCGTGACTCTTCGAAGTCTTCGTCACTGTTCGATCTCCGGGTTGCCACGAATCGAGTATACTATAGTTTTTCTTCGGTGACGATCGTCATCGGGAGCGTTGAAATCGAATAGCAAGTTGTGACATTGTGCTTAAAAAATCGTCTGTAATGAACGAAAAAAAAAAAAAACATGTTTGGTGCGCGCTTAGCGGTGTTCCGCTCGACGGAACAAACACGAAAGCAGGTTGGGGTCGACACTTCTCGTTGCGTTTACGTTGTTTTGTTTCTTTTCGGTCGGCGAGCGGCCAAAGTGTATGCCGATGGCATCGACTCGGCTGCACTGAATCACGTGGTCCCACTGCGACAGTGAGCGCCCTCGGATAGCGCCGCCTGGCGAAGCGCTCTCGCCCTTCCCGCCCTCTCCTCTCTTTCTTTCTTTTTCTCCCTTTCCCGGCTCGATGTCCGAGCATGTGCTTTCGATTTGCGCTGGCCCCCGGTTTGCCTGTGTTGTCTGAGACGCCCGCTGTGTTCTGTGGTCTATAGAAAAAGCGCGCCATGTTTTTGTTGTCTTCACGGCCGGGAACACTTTTTTTTTTCTTTTCGTTACTAACTTCCTCCAAATAATAATAAAAAAGCTATTGATTACATGACAAAGCCTGAGCACGCATGACTTCGGCGTTTATACATTAAGGTGCGGTTCACGCATACGGAGCAGCGCGGCTAAATCAACGCTGTACTTCATTTCACCGTAACCCCGAGCGCCAGTCGAAGGCTCGAACACGTACAAACACCGACGCATATACTAAAAGTGCGAGTCACCGGGCATTCGCTGCATTTGATTTGTTTAGCAGACGATAGCACCAGTAGACAACGATGCGAGAACCTCCATAACGTTGCGGTTATGACCTTGTTTGATTCGTCATATCGGGTCGTTAACGTCGTCTGCTCAAGGTGGAACGAAGTACACAAACAGGCCTGATGCATCGCTGACTCGAACGTAACTTACCATCCATGCGTCAGCGCTGCGTCCCTTGTATCTGGCAATGTCAGTGCTGCATATGCAAGCTCAGCGCTATATCCACCGCTGACATAATGAGGCTGAGGTAGCGCTATGCTGTATGCGAGAACGGGCCTTTATAGTGTCGCGCACTAAATATTATCTCCGAAGTCAATTTTTCACACACAAGTGCATTCCAATAAACTAGTAGTTTTCATAACAGTATTTCTGACGTGAAAAAAAAAAAAAAAAGTTATGCTGAGAGCTGGGTGCCACGCATTAGTGCTAACTGTATCGCGTTTTTTACATTATATTCCAAAGTTCTCCAGATGTTTCATAGTTGCGATAAACCTGAAATTAAGGCTGGCAACAATGTAGAAAATTGTAACCGATTGATCGGCGACTTTTAATTGAATAATTGGTCTAACGTTGAGGCTAATAAAAATTGTTAAAGTACCGGGAAATTATAATTATAGCATTACGCATTTGGAAAGTGATGCAAGAGCAGTCGGTTTTAATAAAGCCATCAATTGTATTTACTAGTTTTATTTGGCATACATTAATTTCAAACGTTATGTGCTGGTAGCGGAAGTAAAGGACAGAACAAAATAAAATGCACACTCTTGTTTTCTGACATCAAGTTACAATAGTTGTTTGTTAAGAATTTCAAAAGTGTGAAATATGTGTTACTTACATATGAATATTCACTTTATGCGAATGTGAGAGGGTAACCCCTAAAGAAAACCCGCGCAGTGTTCGACTGATTTTTTACGTATAGATGGCAGTGCGATCGACAAACGGAAAACAAACACAACAACAAAATATTCTAAAAAAAAAAAAAAGCAAAGCAGCAAATTATTTACGAGTTTTCGACTGTAGTTTATTTTCACTTTTAGTCCACCTTGTTCTATGAGATGCTGATCTTTCAAGGAAGTACAAACAATGGTAACCTTAAATTTACAATCGTTTTACAAACAAGATTGACATCAAGTCAAAATGAATTATTTTTCGCCGATTGATCCTCACAATCATAATGACTAACGGTGCGCAAATATTATAATAGAAATAATAGTTGTTCTTATTATAGCAAATTTTATTGTACGAAATAACGCTCCGCACTTCGAAGGAACGTGGCCCCGGAAGAGCAAAAGACTCGCCAGTCATTTACAGTTCTTGATTTTTTTTTTTTTTTTTTTGACAGCGACGAAGATAATATTAGTGATTACTGAGAAAATTGGGGATCCACTTTTAATCTAATAATCCGTTAATAAAAAATAGCCGGTGAATGATGTAATAATAAATTAAACGCGCTTGGTTAGTCGAGTAATTCACAACCCTAAAAAAAAAACAAAAAAACTTTCTAGCAAGCTCAACCACTACAAAAAAAAATAATATTAACAACGGCGGCGTTGGGATTTAGAAATGCTGACATTTTCTAAATAAAAATGACAGAGTCATTAATCAGTAATGAGTCAGTAATCGGCTGTCAGACGACCAAGAATCAAGTTTTCTATCCCCATGGATTGGCCATTTCACATGTAGGAGGCACGAACTTCCAAAATGAATTACTAGTCAGATGTTCTTTTTAAGTGACATTGCCCCAAAAGTGAAACTTCGTCAGCGTCTTTTGTTTGCGCAGTTATTAAAAAAAAAAAAATGTCCGGAAGAAAAGTTATTTTGACCAAAATGCTATTCGAAGTGCAACCTAAAATAAGCCTAAACTTACGAAAACTTAGTACGCCTGCCGTTAAAATGTTGTTAAAACGTGCGACACTCTTTTAGCTGTGTATCCGATTGTTGCAACCTACTGCCTAATTTAATCTGATAAACCACGGGCTTACTGCACCGGCCATAATTTTCTATCTAGACCAACGACCTAAATGGGCTTTTTAATAACGACCGTAGGGAAACCGTGACTTCCTGCCACCTTGATAAACTTTTAAAGAAATATACACTAAAAGCTTAAAAAAGAATTGTTCCTTCTATATTTGATTTAGAACTTGTGACTTTATTGCTATTTAATTGGTTGTTACATTGCACTGATTTACAAGACATGCGAGCTTAGTATTTGTATAATACAGAAACATATTATAGGTACACGGGGAACCCAATACCGTATATCTACTATCTACAAATATATATATATATAAACATAACACCGAAGAAAACCTGTTTCTTATTTTCTCAATCTACCGCCACTGAACTCATTAAACTACTTGGGAAAAGTTTTAAACATCTTAAAGGGTTTAGGACATGAAAATGAAACAGGTACATTATTCTTAAAATCTTTTTTCTTCTTTCTTTAATAAGTGAAAAACAATGAAGATGTTGGCGCTTTCTTTACAGTACCGGCTACTCTATACTAATTGTCAATATATATATATATATATATATATATATATATATATATATATATATATATATATATATATATATATATATATATAGCGTGAACAACACATGGTAATGTACGCATATGTCACGCACATAAGGCACTTACTCAAACCGGTATACACAACCATGGATATACCGTACAAAC